TCGTGCTGACGGCCGGGAATATTCTCGTTCCTGCTCCACTCCACGATGGCGGTCGCAAGTCTGCATTGGAGACACCTCGGGTCAAGGTGGGCCCCCACGGCGTCGTAGAGTTTCTTTCCTCTAAGGTCCAGGGACCGAAAGTAAGACCCAAGGCCCGCTGCTCGGGCCCGTTCCTCAGGGGATGGGATCCTGAGCCCGTGCCCGCTCCCGTGCGCCTGCAGCCAACCTGCCCAGGCCCTCGCTTTTCCTTCGCTGGCTAGGCTCTCACGCTCTCTTCCGTGACAGACGAGCGCCAGTCAGTCCTTCAGTGCAGCCCTGGAAGCTACGTTCGGCTCCAGTCTCATCAAGGATGTTATTGATGCCGTTCCTGGTGTCGGCGAGGGTGCGGAGTAGCCACCTGTGGCTGCTGTCCCCATTGTATAGAAAGCACAGGGGGTGTGTCTGGTAACTGCACGGAACTATTACCTCCGGGGCGTTGGCGAGAGCCTTGGACTGGGTCCAGGGAGGGATGCGTCCGTCCGGTCTGTATGTCCATCGCCTTTCCCAGGGACTGGGGAGTCGGGGATACGTAACGAGGTCATCCGCGGGAGGGCAGTTGCTGAACCATAATCGATCCCTCGGGCTGGCGCCTGTGGGAGCGGCATCTAGGCGGACCGCCCAGTCTGGGGGGAGTTCTCCCAGTGCCGTGCACATTGCCTGCTTGTGCGCCTGTAGGATCGTGGCTGGGCATTCGCAGCATATTATGACGCGTACATCCGGGCGGAGCCTGCGAGCGGTGTTCCATAGGAGTGGCACGGCGAAGAAGTGCACTGCCTGAGAGCCCGCAAGTCCGTGAAGTCCCCCGTGTTGGCTGGCTGCAGAAAGGCTGGCACCTGGGAGCCCCGCTGTGATGACAAGTAGGCTTCCGGGATCCAGGGTTCTGAGGTGGTCGGTCCAGGGACTTCGGCGGTCGTCTCCTCTCAGGAGATCCCATACATCAGCTCCTAACCTCACGTGTGGGGGCCCTCCATCAAAGCGCATGGCGCTGTCACGGTCCCAACGCCTCTCGACTCGAGCTGCCACTTCCTCGTTGATTTGGACGTAGGCGGAGGATCTGAACCGAGTGTCGCGGCGACTTCGGTTAAGAGGTCGCTAATCGCAAGTCTCGCCAGACTCCATTCATCGAAAAGTGATACGAGATGAAGACTTGGTCCCGCGGCGGCACTCGGGCCGGGTCGAGGGTTGACTATGCGTGCTCTTGTTTGCTGGGTGAAGTCGTACGTCCAGTCGTCCCCGTGCCTAGGATCACTGATTGGGTGGAGCCTAAGGTGTCCCGTGGTGTCCCATGCACCGTCGGGGGAAACGCTGGAGACAAGGCCGTCCTGCTGGAGAGTCCTTAGAGTGCTGATGATCTGTGTATTGTCCAAGCCCGCAATCTGGTACGCAGCGAGTGTCGTGTCGGCCGGTGCGACTGGAGAGAGACCGGTTCGCTCGTCCCTGTGTCGCTCCCATACCTGCTGGAGCACATCGGCAGGCTGAGGGGCGGCCGTGGGCTCGTCTGGTGAGAAACCGGTTGGTCGGGGTCGCGGTCTGCGGATCCGTGCGCCCTCCACACTCGCCGGCTGGCGCCCGTCTTCGACGCCTCTCCCAGCGACACCGGTGGGGGGGCCCTCTCCTGCACGGGAGCGCTCCCAGAGGTCGACCAGAGTCCTTGGGTTGGGAGGTCTGCTGCCTGGTCGGGTGGACCTTTCCCTGCCTGCGTTGCCCGCAGCTCTGAGGCGGGTCGCACCACGTGCCGTCATTCCTACCTCGGGGGGCCCGGTGCGCCGGGCTCCCACGAGCTCTATCAGCGGCGGTAGCGCGAAGCTGGGTGCTGGGCTCGACCGGTCGCGGCCCGGTCGTGTTTCTGTTTCGAGCGCGCCTGGTCAACCCGCTGTCAGCTGTGCTCCCAGCAGTCCCAGCCGGGGCACGCGCTTCTGGGCGTGCACGGCACGCCGGGCGGCGTTTCCGGTTCTGCGTAGGTTCCTTGGAGAGGCCTCTACAGTCTCACTCAGGACCTGGCCCCTATCGTCAGTGAATGGGGCACCCGCTCCCGCGCGCAGGATGGTGCGGAGCATGGCAGGCGCAAGGCTCTGAAAGGGGGCATCGGGTGCCGACACGCTGTCCGAGCGAGAGGCCGGACTGCCTGCGAGTTGTCTCAGTTGGGCGCAGGCCGCGTCAGCAGTCAGCGCCGCTTGGCGTGAGTGTATCCTCCTGCCAGCGGGGTTGCGCGTACCCGGAGGTGGGTGGGTATTCCAGTAGGCTTAAGGCGTCTGGGATTCGCGTGGCGAGTCCAAGCTCTTGGTAGAGGTCCCTAACGGTTGTCCAGCTGGGGCATCGCTGCGGCCCATGCGATGACACTGAGAACTTGGTTCCATTCGTCTTCGGAAGGGGGGTTGCCTGTGCCGTCAGAGGCGTGCACCTGCGCCAGTCTGAGCGCGCGCGCCATGACTTCATATTCCCGTCTCCAGTCCGCGCCCATGCACGGGGGGAGCTCAGGCCCAATTCGTGGCGTGTCTCCCGCACCCGGGGGTCTTGCAAGTACAGGCAGGGCTGGAACAGCTCCCCCGTGGTTTCACCGATCTTCCAGGATGCTGCGCGCAGGAGCTGACGAGGTCCGTAGGAAGAGTCCGGGGTCAGAGGTCCCACACTTCTGCTGCTGCTAGGGGCTGCCAGCCCGGGCCGGCATGGCGGCGGGACCGGGGCGAGTGACCGTGCCAATCCCTCCCTGGGTGTCGCGGGGTTCGCAGAAGTCGCCCGGGGTGGGAATTGGCCGGTGCTGTCGGCCCGGGTAGTGGCATTGTCCGCCACTCCTTCGCCGGCCGGTCTGGCCACGGAGGGTGGCGCCGCACTTTGCTCGGGTGGTGCCATCTGTCGCCGAGGCTGCACTCCCTGACCGGTAAGTGCAGGGCTGTCGTTAGCCCCTCCGCTGGGGCTTGCGCATGTCTGTGATGTCACCGAAGTGGGGAGCCCGGGGCTTGCAGGTGTGGCTGGCGGTCCAGGGCCTGTCGCAGTAGGTGGTCTCGCATCACCGGCTTGCATGCCTGCCACGTCCGTCTCGTTGTTCGCCCGGCTGCGGCTTCTGCGTTGGCTCGTACCTGGGTTGTCCATTGGTCTGTCCCCCGCTCCAGTGGTTCTGGGGGTCTGGGAGATTCCTCTCCGCCCCCGAGTGACTCTGCCGGAGTCATGGCGCTGCCGCTCCTCCCATGTGTAGGTTAGACAGCCTGTTGATCAGGGCGTCCAGGGCACTAGTGACGTTCTCCGGGATTGAGAGCGCGGTGGTGGCGTCGACGTCTGCACCTCTGGATCCAGGGACTTCGAGCCAGGGCTGGTGGGCTGAGTAGGTGTCGTCAGGCTCAGGCGCGAGCCACTGGGTGAAAGGGAGCTGTCTCGTGACTTCTTCTCGGATTCCAAGCTCTCGGATGAACTGCCAGACGTGGTCGCGGTCCAGGCTCCCCGGGTTGGCCAACTGCAGGATCCAGATGGCGGCGAACATGTCCCAGTTGTACCTCTGCATGGGCCGGCCCTCGAGTTGCCTGCGGATTTCGAGGGCGATCCGGCGCTGGACGCCACGCGCCATGTCATGAACAGCTTGCTCCGGGACCACGGCGGCAGATCTACCCAACATGCCCCGCGCGATGCGGACTGCATCTTCGTCGGCTCTTACCAGTTCGGCCGGGGGCGGCCTGCATGCACTCACTAGCACCTCGGCGAGCTCCGGAAAGTGAGTGGGCGATCTGTGTCGAAAAACAAAAAAAACAAAACAAAAAAAAAAAAACAACAAACAAAAAAAAAAAAAAAAAAAAAAAAAAAAAAACGCCATAAACCTAAATTTTCGCAGGTCCATGCAGATTTAATGGATCGGCGCTGGACCCCCTTCCCCGCGCGCGGGACGCGCCAGGGACGACGCTGGAGGCGCCGCCAGGTGGGAGCCAGCGCCGATCCAAGAAATCCGCGCGGAGCTCCGAAAATGTATGTTTATACAAATGTGTGTTCTTCGACCCTGTCCTTCATGCTGACATGCGCCAGTCGTGGTGTCTCCTTCACGGCCACCCGATCTCACGGCCTGTTTCTGGAGGCTTGGAGATGGGCACCAACACCAATACCAGGGGTCGCCTCCACAGAGGAAAGATGATCCTAGATTTTGGTTTTGGTGGTGAACCTTCGGCCCACTAGGAAGACAAAAAATTACCATGATCACCGAGATTGGGATCATCTTCCCTCGGTTCAGGGGGTCTGAACTGGTTGGGACCCGAGAAAATCAGTGAGAAGGGGGGATGGGGCCAAATCCGTTCAAAATCGGTCCCAGGACCCCAAGCTTGCACCCCGGATCCGTTCCTGACGGTCCGGGGGCCCAAAGACGGCTCCCGGATGCCGAAGGGGGCAAAAAACCTGCCCGAGAACCCCGAACCTCGAACCTGCCCACCCTCCTGCTTGCCAGAACCAGTGCTGGGCCATCCCATCGGGGGCGTCCAAGAGGGAGGCGTCCAAGAGGCGGGGGGCGCTAATGATCATGGCCAGCGGCATGTCCAGGGGGGGCTGCGGACGTATTGACATAAGAAGAGGCGCCATGAGATCTGGGGAGATATCATGGCCCCCGCCATGATACCCACGCCCCCCTCTTAGCCATCACCCCCCTCTTGGTCAGGAGAGCCCAAAATCGAATCAATAAAGTCGGATCGGCGATCGACATGAATCGAATCGGCGGAAATCGGCGGGCTCGTGCGCGTCCAGTGAGACACCGGCACCCACACCGGAACCCCAAGCCGAACCGAATCGGGATCGCAAACCGCCGACATCGCATCGCATCGAATCCGAGGAGCCGACACGAGCCCTGCTTGGCCGCCCCCTCCCAGGCGCCCCGACGGCTCCAAACACCGCCGAGACCGGCGTTGGCGCCCTGCGGGCCCCGCGGCGCGCCGCCGCCGCGCCGCGGCGGCGGGCGCCCCGAGGCGGGCGCCCCGCCGCGGCGCGGGCGGCCCCGCCGGGGCGCTCGGCCCCGCCCGCGCTCAGCCGCACAGCCGCCCCGCGCAGCCGCCCAGCGCCCCGAGGGCCCGGCGCCGGGCCGCCGCCGCCGGGGGCGCCACGGCGAGCGCGGCGGGGCTGGCGCCCTGGTTGGGCGTCGGGTGCTGGGAAGGGGGGAGGGGGGCGAGGGGGTTGCTGAGGGGATGGGGAGGGGGCTATCAGTGGACGCCACAGGGGAGAGACCTGGCTTAGCCTAGCTTATAAAGTGGGCTACACATGCCCCAAGTGGCTCAGGGGGATTAGGCAACTCCGCTGAGTGGGCGGAGCCCACTTAGCCTGCATCGCTATTCCCCCCCAGACCCCCTCACGTTGTGAAGTAAATCACGACGGGAGGTTTTTCGCTCGTTTCGGCCTCTGGGGGCCCTTCCGGGGCCTGGGCGCGTCAAAAAGCGACTTCGGATGAAAAACCAGTCCCGACGAAGGGGTCCAGACCCCTGGGGGTCGACGTTGTGAAAAAATCAAAACGTCGGGGGTCCAGGTACTGGGGGTACTGGGGGGGGGGCGAGGGGGACTACAGTCGGCCTTTATCACAAGGACGCACGATGAGGATGCAAGGGGGCCTGGACGGCCGCATCGAAGCTTTTCGAGCGGGGCGCGGCAAGCGCACGTGGCCAAAGAGGGACCGAGGAGGCAAGGATGTAAGGAGTACCCTTGGGAAAATCGCCCATCCTTACTATGCGGGTTGACTGTAGAGGTCAAAAAAATCAGCCCCACAAGAACCACCCCGACAAGGGAAGCCGTTTAGTGAAAACGCACGCACCCAGGGAGGAAATCGAACAGGGCAGGGCTGCTGAGAAGAAGCCCAGGGCCGTTCAGTGAACGCCCCCTGTCGGGGCCTGGGTGGTTTTCCTTCCCTCGAGGGAGGGGGGGAGAGACGCGCACCTCTCGCACCCCTTCCGGGCCCCAAGGGGGCCCCCTGCAGGGCCCCCGAAGGACACAATCGGCTGCACGCAAGGAGCGACCCCAGGCAGGAGTGTCCTCTGGTGCGCGGCTCAAGGGCGGGAGGGGCGCGGAGGGGCCAATTGCAAGCGCGCAGGCAGCCACCGCCGCATCGCGCTCTGCGATGGGGGGACCCCATTGGGCCCGCACCGGAGGTCACTCCAGCGAAAGGTCACTCCACCGTCTAGTCGACAGAAAAGGTGCGCCTTTCTTCCTCCTCCCTCCTCCTCCTCCTCCTCCTCCTCCTCCCTCCTCCTCCTCCTCCTCCCTCCTCCCTCCTCTCCTCCTCCCCCTCGTCCTCCCCCTCCTCCTTCCTCCTCCTTCTGTTCCTCCTCCTCCTCCTCCTCCTCCTCCTCCTCCTCCTCCTCCTCCTCCTCCTCCTCCTCCTCCTCGCACATAGCTCGGAAAGAAGTCCCAAAGCTACGCATCAATATTTTGCATTTGCTGCACGAGCTGCGCTCTGGCGGCTCTGGCAAAGGGCGAGAGATCGCCCAACTCTCTGGCAGGGGCAGTCATGACTGCACTGGATATAGAAAGCACTGACTACCGTCGGCACTTACAAAATCCTCTCTTTCTCCGTCTGACCTCGCGAGAGAGCAAGGCGTCGATCGAGAAAACGCTATATGGGGATGTCAGGATGCCAAATCTCACGCACCGCTGACCATAGAGCAGGGAAGGAGAGGTAATGGGACATGGAGTCCAGCTCGCCTGCACAACTGACTTTGCACTGGCAGCTTATTTGGCACATCCTCCGCTCCGTCGTACACCCACCCACCACCGTTTTAATCATTGAGACCTGCCATGCAGGGGGCATCGCAGACAGGACAGCTCTGAGGGAGGCCACGAAATGTCAGCAAGAGCGGTGCGAGAGGAAGACTGGCACACTTTGCACAAGCGTTTTACAATCGCCAGCTGCAGATCCTCCGCCAGCATGGAAGCGTCCGACGCCCTGGAGATCGTTCTCTGGATGGGCGCCCGAGGACTCAAAGCCAGCGCCTCTCCGAGAGCAACCTTCGCCTTCGAAACGCGATCATGAAGCCTAGGCGCCTGCGGAAAAGAACGGTGAGCCTCAGCGAGCTCCTGCACAAAGGGACGGGCCTTCCAGTGAGGGGGCAACCAGGACACACTAGTCCAGTGCACCATCTCTAGATGTTCTTTGCATGCAGCCTGGAGTCTGTCCCAAAGAGGTGACCAATTCGTGACTGTGCTCCGCGCCGCTCTGACTAGTGCTGTTACCGTCTGAATTATCATCGATTGGGGTCGGATTCGAGACCACGTTCTGAGCGCCAACAACTGCGCCACCTCCTCCTCCTCCTCCTCCTCCTCCTCCTCCTCCTCCTCCTCCTCCTCCTCCTCCTCCTCCTCCTCCTCCTCCTCCTCCTCTCCTCTCCTCCTCCTCCTCCTCCTCCTCTCTCCTCCTCCTCCTCCTCCTCCTCTCCTCCTCCTCCTCCTCCTCCTCCTCCTCCTCCTCCCTCCTCCTCCTCCTCCTCCTCCTCCTCCTCCTCCTCCTCCTCCTCCTCCTCCTCCTCCTCCTCCTCCTCCTCCTCCTCCTCCTCCTCCTCCTCCTCCTCCTCCTCCTCCTCCTCCTTCTCTCCCCCCCTTGCGCAACGCCCGACCTGTGGGGGCGGCGGGAGAGGCGCGCCCCCAGACCGCCGAGCACCCTCTGGGGGGGAGGCGGCCCCGTCGTCGCCCTCGCCGGGGCACGCCGCTGGCAGCCCCGTGGTGCCGGCCTCGCGCGCCTCGTCCATGGTCAGCCACCTCCAGACGTTGGTCTTGTCCGCCTCGGGGAATGGGAGGGGAGGGAAGGGGAGGGGGGAAGGGGGAGCCAAACGAGCCAAAGGGAGGGGGGAAGGGGAAGGGGAAGGGGGAGGGAAGGGCGATTTCGCCGTGCTTTCAAACCCCGGGGCCCTCGCGAATCGATCCAGTCCGAAAAATGCAGCTGAAGACGGGGTCTAGGGCTCGGGTCATAATTTTCTACGAATGCTAAATCTGCTCGGGAAGGAGGAGGAGGAGGAGGAGGAGGAGGAGGAGGACCAGAGTAAACCCAAGATGCGTCAACGATGCTGCAATACGCCCTGCCGTCCCAGGTCCCCGCCGCCTTGTTCCCTGCAAGCACGTCTTCTGCACTGCACGAGGCGCCCCCCCAATTGAAAGACGAGCGCACCCGCCATTGAGGCGCGGGAGCTGAGGCTCGAAGGAAGCCGCCTGTCATCCTACAGCTAGGTGGGGCTTCAAGTCTGATTTTCGGGAGGAGAGGAGAGAAGAAGAAAAAACGCCGTGAGCGTAAACTTTTGGTGCTCCGCACGGATTTCTTGGATCTGAGCTGGACCCCCCTCCCTGGCGCGCGGAGCGCGCCAGGGGCGGCGCCGGATGCGCCGCCGGGGAGGGCCGCCGGGGGTGAGCGACGATCAAAAACGGGTTCTACGCGAGATGACGTAGCGAACTTACGCGGTGGCTTACGCGGGCCGCAAGCGCGGCACGCCACTTTGGAGAAGAGGGCGCTCACGCGCGACCTTACGCGGGCTGCTTACGCGCCAATGTCGGCGCAGACGACCCCGTTTTTCTTGCGCCGCTCAGGTGGGGCTTGAAGTTGTTTTCGGGAGGAGAGGAGATGGGAGCACACGACCACTGAATCCCACTACGGCGTGACTGGCAAGTAACGTGAAGCAGAAGATCGCCAAACAAACTCGGATCGCTACACGAGCCGACCTGCCATAGGCAAACTCATGCGATAGCACCCGGGTAACCGTTGCAGGATTTTTCGCCTGTGGCAATATGCTTGGGGACACCTCAGGCGTGAGCCCCATGTTGAAAACCTGCTGGCTTCCATCCGTGTACCTGTTGGCAGATGTTCAAACAAAGGTGCGCGGCGCTGGGGCGAGAGCCACATTGTGAAAACGACTGGCCCTCCATCGGTGTAAAGCTGCTGAAGCTTTGAAAACGCGCGGCGATGAGGCGAGAGCGACCGTTTGAATACCGACGCCCCTCCATCCGTGTAACTGTCCAAAGCTGTGAAGACGCGTGTGCGTCGCGCTGAATCGAGAGTCACATGTTCAAAACGATGAGCCCTCCACCTGTGAAAATGCTGGAAAACAAAGCTTCGATATAAGAAGATTGCACGGGAAGCCTCAAGCGAAACGCTCAGCCGGGCCTACGGGCACACCGAGAAGGAAGACGGAGAGGAAAACAGAATAGGTAAGGGGGGGAGGAGGAGGAGGAGAGGAGGAGGAGGAGGAGGAGGAGGAGGAGGAGGAGGAGGTGACGCATCAAAGGTGCTGCAGCACACCCTCCCACAAAGATTCGCTTCCTTTGTACGTCCATACCAGTATGTTTCTCTCTGCGGGGACCACGCTAATTGAACGACCAGCGCCCCATCTACCTCCCATTCGGGCGGGAGCCCCGCTCAGAAAACGAAGTGCCCATCCACCCTTGCGACTACTTGCAGGCACATGAAAATTCAAGGAACTGTGGAATCGCCATTCATCCGCACATGCGTAAAGAGATAAAGAAATCTCGAGCGAGAGAAATCGTCCCTCCGTCCGTGTGACTGATGCGTAATTCTAGGTTTCGGGTATTGCCTTGTGAGCCAAACTCCAGCGAGAAAACGAACCGCCCTCCATCCGTGTAACTGCTGCAAGCTGTTTAGACGAACGGGCGCCATGCTTAGGCGAGAGCCAAACCTTGAAAGCGAATCACTTCACCGGCGTAGATGTTGCAAAATGCTAGGGCGCTGGAGCGAAAACAACACCTTTGAACGACCTCACCTCAATCCGCTTTACCTGTTGCAAAATTTAAAGGTATGTGCGTGTCTCTTAGGCGAGAGCCACGTTTTGAAAACAACCAGCCCTGCATAACCAATGTTTGTAAGTTGTCCAACACGTGCACGCGGCGCCCAGGCGAGAAAACCACCCGCCCGTGGTAACCAAGTCTCGGGGTCATCAACTGTGAGGATAGCTCAGGAAGAACGTCCGGCTTGCCCTACCAGAGGGCCTCGTGGTGCGACGAGGAGTTGCCCTTCAGGGAAAGGAGAGGAAGAAGGGTGAAGAGAGAGAGGAGGACGAAGATGAAGACGAAGAAAGCTGGAGAGAGGCCGCGGAAGAGGAAGATGAGGAAGAGGGGGAGTGGTAAGATGAGGAGATGAAGAGAAGAGGAAATGAAGGAGGAAGAGGAAGGGGAGAGGGAGGTGGAAGAGAAAAAGGATGAGGATGAGGATGAGGAGAGGAGGTAGGCCGCGGAGGAGGAAGAGGAACGGAGAGGAGAGCAAGACGAGGAGGGGAACACGAGGAAGCAGGCCGAGCGTGCCCAACGAGGGGGAGGAGGAGGGAGAGGGGAAGACGAGGAGAGAAGGAGCGGAGATGGAAAAGGGGAGAGGACGAGCAGGAGCTGACGGCGCACACAGGGTGGCAGAAGGGGATGTGGGAATGCGCCGCTCCTCAGAAGGCGCCGGCCTTGCGTCTACAGATGAGGCCCGCGCCTTCGGGGAAGCAGACTCCTTCTAATTGAGGGATGAAAAAACGACCCTACCCTGGGTTACAAGTGCGTGGTCTGTAAACCTCCTGGGACCCCCCAAAGCCTAGAGCCGTCAGGACGCGGCACATCACGCAGGGTTTACCCTGTCAGCCCACAGGAGTTTCAGCGCACAGCGCCTCGTAAACCAGGGTAGGGGCGTTTTTTCTGCCCTTGATCTAAGAAGCCTTCCCCCCACCCCTCTTCAGCCAACCCCTGCGCGTGGCTGACGCAGAACCAAGCAGGGAGGCATCGATGGGCGGCCTGGAGGCCCCGTCGAGGTCACTGGAAGCTCCAGCCGGTGGGGAGGAGGCCTCGGCTCTTCGGCAGTCCCTCGGGGAGCAGGAGCACGAGGAGCTTCCCTCCCTCCTCGATCCTCGATCCTCGAGGAGCGCCCAGAGGCCAAGATGGAGGGGGAGGGAGGTCCTGGGAGGTCTTTGTGGGAATGACTACCCAAACTTCCGACGTCGTGTTTCTCGCGGCGTGGCCTTACCTGGTCTTAATTGGGACTGGCTCTTCGTTTGGCAACTTCCGTGGGACTTCGGCGATCACCGGAGGGGTGGGGGGCGAGGAGCGAAGAGGGGGACGGGGAGGAGGAGGAGCAGGAGGAGGATGAGGAGGAGGAGGAGGAGAAGGAGGAGGAGGAGGAGGAGGAGCAGGAGGAGAAGGAGGAGGAGGAGGAGGAGGAGGAGGAGGAGGGAGGAGGAGGGAGAGGACGCCGATCTTGCCCGCCTCGGCGGTCTCGAACTCGGCGGCCAGCAGCCCCAGCTCCTCGGCGGACCGGAGGCGGGTGCGCGCGGGCACGGGGGCTGCCCGCCAGCCGCGGGCTGCCAGGGGGAAGACTCGAGCAGCACGGGACGCACAGAAACATACATACGAGTACGACATGTCATCCTTGGAGGCGCGCGTCCGACGACACGGTTTTTTCGGCTCCGGTGCTGTTCCTCCATTTCGGCCTCCGTGGCCCGTCGACATAATCGTTTCGGTGCCTGTGCTTGCACGGTTCCCCCGGGGGCCGTAGGCGACCCGAGGAGGAGAAGGAGGAGGAGGAGGAAGAGGAGGAGGAGGAGGAGGAGGAGGAGGAGGAGGAGGAGGGGAGGAGACGGAGGAGGAGAGAAGGAGGAGGAGAGGAAGAGGAGGAGGAGGAGGAGGAGGAGGGACGAGGAGGAGGAGGAGGAGGAGGAGGAGGACGGGTCGCCTAAGCCCTCGGAGAAACCCTCCACCGGTGCTCTTCCTCGAGTTCGGCCTCCGTGGCCCGTCGTCGGGCCCCCCGGGGCCATGAGGAGCAGATCGCGGGCGGAAAAAATACTCCTCGGGGGGGGGGTCGGGGCACCTGGGGCCCCGCGCTGGGAAAAAAGCACATCGTCGGAGGCGTGCACAGACGTTGACAGCTGAGACTCTGCAGCAAAGCGCAGCGAGAGTGAGGCCCCTAGGCACCCAATCAGGCCCCGAGGGGGCCCCGAGAGGCGCCCAAAAAACATCCACGACAAGCCTCCAAGGCTTTCAACACACACACACACACAAGACCAGAGCCAACGCGCAAGAGCCATGTAACTTTACAGCCACGCCCCGCAGTAGCATCGTGGCGCTGCGTCCCATATTGCTGGAGAGCTCAGCAGGCCATCCTCCGTGCAGTCCGATCCTGCGCTGGCGATGTGGCGGGGTTCGCCGCAGGCAGCCGAGTAAGGAGGTCGCAGGCCCTTCAAAGGCAGAGGGTAGGACAAGGGAGAGAGTTGGAGGATGAGGCAGCTGGCGGGGTGGACGGACGAAACGAGCAAGGACTAAGTCGGGCATGTCCCTCTACAGGAAAATATCTAAAAATAGTCCAAGAATGATGATATGGTGACGATTTTTCGACTATTGCTGACTACTGCTTGGACATTCTTAAGTTTCTCATCCAAGACCACCTGTAGGAGGACATGCCCGACCTAAAGCAAGGACCAGAGCAATGAAACGCTCTCCGCGGCTCCTCGAAGCAACGTGCTCCCGATTCCAGCAGCTGCAGGCCGCAGTAGTGCGTCACGTACCGGCACGGCAGCCCCGGGTACGAGCGCGCCTCGAGGCGCTCCGTCGCGCAGCAGTAGTGCTCCGGCATGAAGCGGCAGAGGCGGTCCAGCGGCGGGAAGCCCGCGGGCAGGCCCAGCTCCTCGCGCAAGCCGCGGAGAGCTGCGGCACAGACGCTGGCGTCCTCGGGTTAGGTCGGGCATGCCCTCCTACAGGCGGACGTCCGAAGACAAAGAAAAAATGGTCAAAAAGTACTCAGGAATAGTCAAAGCAAGCAGTCGGAAAATCATCACCAGGCTATTGTTTGACTATTTTGAATGCTCCTCCTGTAAAGGGGCATGCCCGACTTAGTCCTCGGGCGACTTCTTCTCCGCGAGCACCATGTTCCGCCGGCGCGAGCGCCCGTCGCGGAGCTTCTGCTCCGCCTCGACGAGCACGGAGTCCCTCCAGCGGAACTGCACGAAGACGGGCTCGACGACGCGGACGAGCCGTCCGTCGCCCTCGTGCCACTCGAGCGCCGACTCGCCGGCGCGGACCTCCTGGAACAGCTGCGCCACGGTCTTTGCCCCCTCGGCGCCGTACTTTGTCAAGTCGATGCCAGCGCGGCTGAGATCCGCCACCGCGCCGCAGGCACCGAGCGGACTGTCGTCAGGTCCCTCCGAGTTCTTTGTGACCTGTGCGTTGGAGCTCCTTCGGGGGCTCAGGTCCTCGTGTTCCAGGCGCTCGGCGATTCAGGGCGCTCTTTTTGCTACCCCCGCGTGACGTCTCCGGAGGCCTCGGGAACTGGAATCCACGCTCTCACCATGGCCCAAGATGGTCCCGGGGCCGGTTCTGGATCCTTCCTGAGGGCCTCCTGGGAAGTGTTGGAGGTCATGGTGGGCCGGCTGCAGAGGCCAAAGCCATGGAGCAACTCGATGTCGAGGCCCACGGAGCGCCCCATGGACGGCTCCGGGTCCAGGAAAGGGCCCCAGAGGCCCCCGAGGCGGCCCCAGGAGGGGCCCAGGGAGGGGGAGCACCAACTGGCGCGTCGAGCCCTTCCTGCCAGGAGGGCCCCCGAGACCACGCGCACGCCCCCGGGAGACGCCCCAGTGACCTCCGGGAGGCCTCACGGGGCCCCCAAGATGCCGATGCCGCCCAGGGGCCTCCCAGGAGCCCCCCTCCCCCACCAAGATGCTTCTGAGAAGCCTCCTGTCGAGGACCTGGGCGCTGTGGCGGGCTGGGCCGAGGGCCACTGGATAGCCTGCGAGGGCCGCCTCGTCGGCCAGCGCGTCGGCGGTCAGGAGCCGCGTGCCGGCGGGCCCGCCCCCGGGGGGCGAGGGCAGCAGCGGGGCCATCGCCGCGGGTTTTTGTGGGGGGGGGCGCCTCCGCAGCTAGCGGCGCCAGCTGTACACCTGCACCGATCCGTGCCAGGCCCGCCCCTTGGCCTGGCCAGGATCGGTGCAGGCAGGTGTGCAGCTGGCGCCCACCGAGTCCACAGTGAGAAGGAGAGGTGGACGAGGCCGTGGCGGGGTGCACGGCTCGAGCCATGGCGGCGGTGCACGGCTCGAGCTGCCCGACGCCGGCATGACGCACGGGCCTTCAGCTTCCAAGGCGACGGCACGCTGCGCTGCGCACGGCAGCCAGAGTTCAGGCTTGTTGGAGGCAAGTGTCTCCTGTTTCCTCTGGCGAGCACCATCAACATGTGGAGAAGGCAGGCAGCTCATGTTTAGGGCTCAGGATGCCAATGGGTGGAGCAAGCACCACGTACGAAAGACATGCTCTTCAACTGTGCTTGCATACAGAATGCCCCATTCAGTTTCACACCAGTTTACTCTTTCGGTTGCCGTGCCCCAGATTCAAGCTCCAATCTGCAAACGGCTTGGGGGAGGTAACGTGCGTGTGTGCGAATGATGCTATACGTCCATGCCCGAATATTTCCGTGCTCGCTCGACATCATGCACGTCTGCTTGCTCATCCGCTCGTGTGCTTCCGTACTTACTTATTACATGTTTGCGTGTTTACTTGTTCTGTCGATGTTGGTTGCGTACGTGCACGCGTGGTTGCATACCGAAAATACTAGCTGGATGTGTCGATTGTCTATCTATCGGTGCCCCCGATTCGCCCGACGCTGGTGCGGATCGCCTCTGCCTCGCCGCCAACGAAAAAAATGCCAATCGTTTATACGCTCGCATGCAGGCTTTCTTGAATGCGATGATACTTATTCGAATATGTGCTCGCTCCCACACTTGCCCAGCTGTCGGCTTGCATGTACTCCGCCACAGTGCCTGGCCGATGTGGGCGTATTAGACTGGCAGGTGCTGCTCTGTAGGGTTCTTGTATAATAATACTACTAGGGAGCCCCGCACTACTACCAGACAAGCCCATGCATACCCCCAACTCCCGAGGCCACGATCCCTCGTACGAAACAGCAATGGATCCGCGCACCCGAAGTGAGAGAGAGCGTGATCCACCGCCGCTTTACTCTGGAAAATTCCCCCCCCTCTTCCTCCGGAACCTGGGGGTCCACCCCCCCCCTCCGAAAATCCCCCCACCCCCCTGCTGGAACCCCCCCCCCCTCCACTTCCCCGGCAACCCCCCCCCTCCCCTACCCCCCCCCTTGTCACTACCGGTTCGAACCCCACCCCCCTCGAAAACCCCCAGCTGGGGTCCCCTCCCTAAACCGTCCGGGCCACTCCCGGTTCGTTGTTCCCAGCCCACTGTCCTCACCACCACTGTCCCCACTGGTTCCACCACCGTCCCTACTGTCCCCACCAGTGCCCCCACCACTGTCGCACTGTCCCCACTGTCCCCACCACTGTTCCCACCACGGCTCCACTCTCCCCACTTTCTCCACGGCCCCAACCACTGCCCGACTATCCCCACTGTCCCCACTGTCCCACTGACTCCTCCGCTGTCCCACTGAGCTGTCCCACTGTTCCCACCACTGTCCCCACTGTCCCCACCACTGTCCCCACTGTACCTCTGTCCCATTGTCCCACCGCCATCCTCGCCACCGCCTTCACCACTGTCCCCACCACCACTGTACCCTCCACTGTCCCTTTGTTTCCACCACATTCCCACTGTCCCCACACCACTGTCCCCACCACCACCGTCCCCACCACTGTCCCACTGTCCCCACTGTTCCCACCATTGTCTTCACCACTGTCCCCACCACTACCGTCCCCACCACTGTCCCACTGTCCCCACCACTGTCCCGCTGTCCCCTCACCACTGTCCCCACCACCACCGTCCCCACCACTGTCCGCACCCCCCCCCCCGGTTTTCGAGAGGGGGGGGGGTTCGAACCTGCAGTGGCCCCACCCGGTTTTCGAGGGGGAGGGGGGGGGTCGAACCGGTAGTGACCCCCCCCAGCTTTCCGGAGGGGGGGGAGGGCCCTTGTCATGATGGACTGGGATTTTTTTGGATTGCGCTGCTGATGAAGCGCATGGCCTGTCAGCTAATGGCGGCGCTGCAGCTAGCAGAGGCAGTCAGCACAGTCAACTCGCGCGGCTGTGCTAAGAGGCGAAACTCGCAAACTCTGCACGGGCACCTGAAGTCAAGTCAGACAGTAACTTCCTCCAACCAACCTGCCTAACCCCACGAATCCCACCCAGTCCCACAGTATTAACTACGCGCGCAACTGGGTGCGAGGCAGCCATGTGGACGCAGAGCGTCTGGCACTAGGCGGCAGAGGATTGAAATTATCAACCGTGGCCAGGAAGTGGCGGCGGACAGGGTGGGCAATCCTGCACGGTTGCTCTCGGCGTACCCCTGGCAGCGCCAGAACATCACGCTTCACAGAGATGTACTCGCTGACTTAACCCCTCCACAAAGCTACCAGTCACTCCCACTCCCATCCTTATCTGCAAGACAAAAGCAAGAAAGGCTGGCGGCAGGCGGGGGCTGCGGCGCGCAGCCGCATGAGCGCCTGGCTGGCGACGCGCGGCCCGACGGACGCTCGGGGGTTCGGTGCCACACGCAACGGGTGTGTGGTTAGCGACGGACTACGCTCACCGAGCCCCCTGCCGCTGCCCCCCACGGGCCAAGGCTTGAAGCTTGACAGTCGGGCGGTGACAGAAACGCGAGGGGGCGCACCTCTGTCCAGGTTGACGGTGGAGAGAGAGCAGGCGAGCGGGTGGCAAGCAGGCGGCGGCGGAAAGAAGCAGGAGAGGCAGGCACATGCCTCTCTGATCTCAGCACGTCCGCCCAACCTGACATACCCAACCCCCTCCCGAATACATGTTGCGATCTCTTCGACCGCTGTCAGCTCTCAAAACAGCTGCTCTCAACGACTTTACCTCGGCGAGCGCCGCTGTGGGGTGGGGGCTTCGCGAGTTCCTTTCGGAGCGCCCACTATGGCCCGCCCCCCTCACGGTTCGACCCTCGGTTCGGCCGACCAGGCTGACACTCGAGCTGGCGACAGTTGCGCGCGTCAACTGCTTTCAGTGAAACCTGTTACGCACCGTCTGAAATTTAGTCTCAGAGAGAGAGAGCGGGCAAGAGGGCGGGACAGCACATGCAGGCAGGCCGTGCACAAGAGAGAGCAAGAGAGGCGGGCTGCCGCTCTCTCTGACTGTTGCTACACTGCCTCGCTGCTAATACCTCCAACTGCCCGACCTACCAATCCCAGCCCTCTCCCAACTACACGATGCGGTCTTCACGACCGCTGTGGCTCTCAAAGCCGCTGAACTCAACGACTTTACCTCGGCGAGAGCCGCTGTGGGGCGGGGGCTTCGCGAGTTCCTTTCGGAGCGCCCACTATGGCCCCCTCCCCTCGCGGATCGACCCTCGGTTCGGCCGACAAGGCTGACGCTCGAGATGGCAACAGCTGCGCAATACGACTGCTGTCATTATCTGAAAAATCTGGTTTCAGAGGGAGAGAGGGCAAGAGGGCGGGCCGGCACTGCTGGCAGGCCGAAGCGATGAAAGAGCAAAAGAGGCGGGCTGCCGCTCTCTCCGCTTGCCGTTACCCTGCCCCGCTGCTAACACCACGACCAATCCCCCAACGTTCCCTCCATACTACAAAAATCACCTGAAACTGCGGCCATCGGATACTCCTGGAAACTGAAGGTGGCCGACAGACACATATCCATGGTCCAAGAGAGGCTGTCTGCAGCAAAACTGATCCACGTGAAAGTCAGGCCTGCTGTGGCGCAACTCTGGAGGTCAGACGGCTATGGAATGCAAACTCATTCAGCGGACGTGATTCCAGCTCAGCTCGAAACTGGCGGATGAGCTGGGGGTTATCTGTATACCACCACGGGGCTAGCCAAACGAGGAGGGCACGCATTAACCATAGCACCAGCCACAAGGCAAGGTCTTAGCAAAGCTCGAAACACTGGCAACATAGGCGGAGAGATCAGAGCACGCCCACACAAGTACCCCACTGTCAGCCTGCTCGCCTGCCACACCCCAAGACGGTGGCCCACCCAAGTGCCGTGTGCTTGGCGCGGGTGACTGTGAGCTTCTAGGAAGGTGAGATAAAAGAGGTAACGCAAGGTTCGAAAGACGAAATAGTTGTGATAGCAAGGCCAGGGCTGACAAAGTGCCTGACTGAGATGCAATCCCTTACCCATCCACCACCTACACCTGAGGCCCTCCACCCAACATCCTATTTACTCGTGCGCATTATCAAACAGCCCTACCCCAAAACCGGGTTGGAAAGTCCATGGGGCTATTCGCTGGGCGAGTCGAATCCGACGTCGCTCTCTAGCTTGCGCAGCTTGGCAGCAATTAGGGCACGCAATTCTGGCGTGAGCTCAACGGGCTGCGGGGGCGGCGGGGGACACGGAGATTGGGAAACGGGTAAAGAAAGACGGGAGTCAGAGAGCAAGATAGCCAGGGCTGACACAGTAGCCTGACTAGATCAGTGCAATCTGGAATTGGGCAGCGCGGCTGCTGCTGGGCCTCGGACGCCATCCGAGGTGAGTGTCAGTCGGCCTGACTGGCGCAGCGCCAGTCGCAGGCGGGCCTGAGACGGCTCAGTGGCAGCCCTCTCGCTCCCCGTGGCCCGCCCGCCATGACACATCACCCCAGCGTCGACGTCGCCCCCTCGCTGCCCTCGGTGGAGCCAGCGCGGCCACCGCACAGCATGAAGCCATCTGGCGCTTCGCGCCGTGGGCTGTGGCTGCGGCTGCGCCTCTGGCGGCGGCTGGCTGCACCTGCAACGGCATCCTCTCCTGCCTCTGCGGCGACGGCGGCACGGCCGTGCGGCGACGGTGGCAGGGCGCCGCGGCCGCGGTGACTGCACGCACCTGGCCGCGCTGACGCCTGGCGAGCCAACGCGTCTCGCAGTCCCTGCTGGCCATCAGGGCGACGTGCGCGTTCTGCAGCCTTCCTCTCAGCACGCTGAGCTGCCCTCGCCTTGCGGGCTGCCTCGGCCGTGGCAGCCGCAGCAACATCCTCCTCGGCGCTGACTGGCACCTCGACGGCGTCGGCGGCGGCGGGTCCAGCAGCGCCCCATGCCGCCCCCACGGCGGCGCCCGCAGGCGGGGGCCCCCCCTGTGGGCCGCGGGCCACAGGTGCGTCGGCCGGCACGGGGTAGACCGCGGCAGGAGCCTCAGGCCTGGGCGCGGGGGCCACTGGCCCCAGGCGCTGGGGGGGCCCTGCAAAGGGCCGCACCTCGGGCGCAGGCGCATCGCCATGCGCCGCTCCACCGCGCGCCGCCGCCATC